TCATACATTATTTGTTATGCATGTGTCTAAATAAAGATTGTAGTTAGCCAAGTTCTCGCCGTAAAGCAAGACGACTCTTGCAATGCACGATACTTCTGAGCCTGTGGGTGCGGGCCGAGGGCTCCTGCAATTGCAAGTACGGTATTTCCCCTACACACCACCAGGGCGGCCGAGAAAACCTTTGTTCGACCTGAAATGACTCATTTAATCATCCAAAAATGTTATGGAACACATTAATTAACTGAAAAATGTTGCATAGTATGCCTTTAAAATGTAATGTGTAAATATGCTTTGATTTAGATGCTTTGTTATTTTCATGGTTAATAGTAGAGATGTTAATCTATTTATTTTATTTCTTATTAGAAATAAGATTTGTGTAAAAAAAAAAAAAACAGCACTTTAAAACGGTAGTTGAGCCTTTCTGACAACTTTAGGCTGTGTGAGTAAAACAAAATGTGGAGTTTAAGGATCAGTCAGCTGGAGATCATTTGGTAGAAAACAGTTCCTCACAGTAAAACATGGCGGTGGAAGCATGATGCTGTGGGGAACACTATTCTACACTATTCTAAAAATGTTTTAACACTGAATGGAAACCTGTCCTCGACTACAAAAGAGAAGACGGGTGGAAGTTCTCCTCCCAGTGATTCACAGTAATCCCACGTTTCCTCTTTAGCTAAAAACAAACGTCACTTATGAGGTTTTCTTTATCCCAGATTGGAGAAGCGATTTCTGTATAACCATTCTAATTGACATGTTATTGTTTCAGGTTGAAGTAGTTCAATCCAACTGAAAAGAAATGGTACTGGTTTTAAAGTCTGGGAGCTCAACATGTTTTGTGTCCTGCTACCAGTACAATACAATCGGAAGCTGCTTAAAGAAAAGCTGCTGACTGTAAGGAAAAACCAGTCTGCTGTTTGGCTCTAAGCTCCAGCTGGCAAACAGAAGCTGCGTGTCTGACACAACCGCACGGACCTGATCTCCAACATGCGTGGGAAAACGGCGGTGTGTCAATCCCAACGGTGAAAATCCCAGATATTTTTTTTTGTTTAACCTGCTTCCTTGCAGCCACCCACCTCCACGTCTCTTACGTAACATCGCTCTGCTGCAGAGGAGCTTTCAGCTCCTCAATGAGGCTGAATGAAAACCTTCTTACAGGCTCTGTTTACTTTGCCTTTTGTCAGCATCTTTTCGGGTCACTCTAACATATTTGCTGCAGAGAGAAGACTCTTAACCTTCTGTTAGCTGAAGGATAAACTTCAACCCTAAAAAATCTCTATATAAGTAGGAGAAGAATTAAAAATCTGCACAACATCTGAGGAGGAGGAGAGCAGTTCTCCCTGCATTCCTCCATCCATGAGCTTTGAGTAACGAGTGAGGCCTCTCCTGAGCGTGCATGGCCTTTCCTGCACTGCTGAAAATTTTAAACAGTGAAAGAGTTTGCTGCGCAGCCAGCTGCAGATGGCTGCCAGTAAGTCTTTGATTTATAGGGGAGAAACATGTGCTCTGTTAGGAAGCAAAGAAATGTTCTCCAGGTCTGGATTTAGAAGTTCATTAATTCAATATTTCAAACAAGTTATTGATTTTAGTCATTGCTGAGACAAAAAAATTGGATTTTAAACTACCGGTTGTTGAAATTCTCTGAAAAGAAAATAGTAAAAAAATAATCGTCATTGTGTTTATCTCTTTAAGTCCACATAATCATCTGAGAACTGATGAGGAAAATCTGTGAAATTCGCTTAATTTTTATCTTTTTTGAGCAGCAGAAAAACACGTCTCTGCTTTCTATTTCATAAAATCCCCCATAGAGAATAAAAAATATATAATTTTTTTTTTAGAATTTCAGGGAAACAACTAAAGGCCAATTTATGCTTCTGACGCATAGCCTCTGCATCCGTCCAATCTGTCTCTGCGCGCGACCACGCCCCCCGAGCAAAGGTTCTGCAACCGTCGTCACACACCTCGGTAAAATCCTGACTACGCGTCGGACAGTTGCAAACCCACGCAGACCTCAAGCGGAAGTGCGCAGACAAAAAGCAGCTGTGATTTGTCCTTGGTATGCCTTTCCGGCTGTCTGTGCGGTCGTCCTTCCTTCTCGATTCAGTGCCGGGTGGTGCGCCTCGGACAACTATGACAACAATGGACAACTACGATGAAAGGTTAATCGAGGAGGTTTGGAAGTACAACCAATTATACGATGCCTCAGACAAATTATACAAAGATACCAAGGTCTCTGTGTCAACTTCTGGAGAGAGTTCAGCCAGAAATGGTTCCTCTTCGATATCTAGCAACTCTAGATCCATCTCCGTGATCGTGATATTTTGCAGACGCGCCGTTGTTGTTTTGGACGATTAACACTACCACCGGCGCCACCGAAGTTCTAGTGACCATCTGCCGAAGTTCATGCGAGTTCTCGAATAGGCTCCCACTTATGCTTTGGCGGGAAACTGCTGTGCATCCCTAGAAATTCCAGACCGATGGTGCAGAAGCATACCAGCAAAAATTGGTTCACGACCAGACCCAAGCGATATTTGATGTGTGCGGTTGCAGAAGTCCAATCTGCCCTTTAGGCTTGTTCAAAATAGATGATTAGAAGGGACGGTCCCAGTGTCCTATCCCAGTGGAAGACGCTCAGAAAAACCTCCAGAAGTGCAAAGTAAGCATCCTGATGTTACGCACCCCTAACCTTATCTAAAGATAAACCCAGCCAACCTCCATAATTAGGTTATTTTGGCCTCTTTTTTTGAGTGTCATGTATGTTCTTTTGGTCGGATCTACGTCTCATGACCAAGGCAAGAGCCAGAAGACTTTTTATCCCCACTAAACACTACAATCTAATTTCAGCAAGGTCTCATCATTCATTTACCCCATAAACAAGCTTCCAAGTCATCTGGACTCGTTCAGTCAAAGCAGAGTCATATTTCTTCTAGTCCTATTTCATCTTGGAAATCATCCCTAGTTCTTTTGAATTCAGGGTCGAAATTTTGATCTCAAAAGTGGGGGGGGCTGCAAGTTTTTTTTTTTTTGATATAGCTAACTTCATCGTATTTGACCATCCAATCACAGACCCGATCCAGTAGCATCAGATGTTTGTTAAGTGAGCTTTTCAGGAGTGTACGGAAGAGGATTAGGGCCACTGACAAAAAAAAGTTAACCGATTTTAAAATTTTATTTCAGTTTAGTATGGGAAAAAAGTCAGAATTCTGACTTTAATCTCAGGATTCTGACAATAAAAAAGTCAGAATTCTTAGATTAAAGTAAGAATTCTGAGAAAAAAGTCAGAATTATGAGATTAAAGTCAGAATTCTGAGAAAAAAGTCAGAATTTTGACTTTTTTCCCATACTAAACTGAAATAAACTTTAAAAATCAGTTAACTTTTTTTTGTCAGTGGCCCTAATCCTCTTCCGTAGGAGTGACAGTGGTGACAGCCTCGTGAGACTATCCTAATCTCGCGAGCTTTCAAGGTTTCCCTCGCAGATCAGTCTTGCTACTTTCCGTTAAAGAAAATTCGGATCCGTTCACCAAACGAACGTCCAATCAGCGTTGGCTTTGAGGCGGGTCGAGGTTTGACGCGACAGTTGAGGTGAAGCACGACAGTTCAGTCTAAAGAACATGGCGGCTTCAGCCGATGAAACTAGCGTTAGCGTGGCTATCGAGCAAGTTTTATTGGAATTACAGAGTATTTCTTCACTGAAAGAAGAGCAAAACACTGCTCTGGAGGCTTTTCTCAGAGGAAAAGATGATTTCGCTCTTCTCCCGACTGGTTTCGGCAAGAGTTTGATCTATCAATTGGCTTGTGGTTGTGTTTTCGTCGTCGCTCTGTTAGTACGTCATATGCTTCGTTGATCTGATTGGTTTATTTGGCCCGTCTATCACCAACATAGGCCAATCAGCTAACCAGTATTTTCGCCTCTTCCCAAAATTACTTCAACGGAAGGTTTCCAGATGGATATGCAGAGCAAATCCATCTGGCGGTGTCAGGTTAGCGGTGACAGTCAATCACACAAGAAAAGACGGTGGGCCAATCAGGAACTTGTCTAAACTCAGGGAAGCGGGCTTCAGCTTGAGCTGCGGTTTCCACTTGGTCCTAATGCTCAACGAATGTCTGTGTATGTTAGAATAACATTGTTTTTGGACAGTAAAACATGCAGAGGACAAAAAACAAATTTTGAACCCGCCCCCATCCCAAAAAAGATTATGTCCAAGTTTGAGTTGACAAGGAACAAACACAAATCATAAATCTATCATTTACTTTCATTTACAAATTCAGAAATGCATTTAACTCCATAACTGTTCAGCTTTTAAAACTACAGGTTAGAAAAAAATGTTTTTATAACTGAAAAATAATAAAAATAAGTAGCCACTTCATTATTGTCAATTTAACGTCTGTGCCCCCCAGACTAAATGTTTGGAAACGATCTCATTCAGCTGCTTTTTAGTTTTTTCTTGAAGCAAACTGTGAATTTAAGGATCCCAGACCAACAGGGTGTTGCAGTGCGATCCTGGATCAGCTTTGTTTGTTTCCTTCAAAGTTTGACACTATCTCTGTGTCTGGAAATCTTCATCTAAACTGATCTACTGGATCACAGTTATCAGCAGTCCTAAAAACAAAAGGGTTAAATCAGCTGACAGAATCAGTAGTTTTTTATATGAGCTAATAAAAAAGATTAAAGTCAAATAAGACATTATATATGGACAGAAACTAATTAATAAGTTGGGATTAATTAGTGTCATAGGTTCAGTCCATGTGACTGAATTCTGTGATCAACAGAATTAGGCAACTGATGGAAAATAACTGAAAAAATGGGATTGAACCCAAAAAGCTGCGCTTTTCCATTAAATTCCCCACATTACGTTAACTTCCCGATTCCCAATCGAGCCATGTGTCCCAGCTCCAGGCGCTCAGAGCCGGTGTGAAGGACAATCCTGTCCTGCAGAGCAGACTGAGGCGCTCAACAGTTCAAACACACCGCCGCTCACGCGCGTTTTTTCTCTCTCTTACCGAAACCGGGGAGAATCCTTGATGCAGTCTTCAAAATCAACCGTCATCTTGGATTTGCTGAGGAATTTCCACGCGATTTAAAACACAGATTTCATATCCTGAGTGGGTAAAAAGATGCTAAGTATCCGAGGGAGAATGGTGCTGCTCCAACAGCAGCGGTTCACTGTGAGAGCGGCTCTGACTGCAGCTCCGCTCACTGCAGCAGGCATTCCCAGCCCCTAGTGGTGCGCGAGGGTACTGCAAGGGGTACTTGGAAATAATAGATTTCTTTGGTAATACAATAGAACTGGGATCTGTTTTGTACGCAGGGGGATTAGGGCCACTGGAAAAAAGTTAACTTATATTTAAATATTATTTCAGTTTAATATGGGGAAAAAGTCAGAATTCTGATTTAACCTCAAAATTCTCACTTTAAAGCTACAGTGTGTAATAATTACAGGGATATACAGTCAGAAATGTAATATATTATACATAATTATGTTATTTATCATCATCTACGAGCTCAGCCTCTTAACCTTAAAGGAATAGTACAGCAGACAGCAAGAAGCCTCCCAGATCTCCAGATGCATTTGAGATATCAAAAAAGTACTCCAGAGTGTTGTTCAGCATGGGGGTGAGTAGAAAATGAAGGCTAATCATGTTTTGGGTGTACTATTCCTTTAATGTAGATGGGCACCATGAAGGAAGAGATGTGGGAGCAGTCAGCTTCACTGACAAAGATGTTAGTTTTTTTGGAGGGCCAGTAACACATTGGTGGAAAATTATGAAATCAGGCGACTTTTTACGTGCCCAAGTGGTCCCTGGTGAAGCTATTTCATTAAAGGGGAACACCAGTTTTTTTACATTGGCCCCTTGATTTTACATTATTACATCATGTTCTACTCACCCATATGAGTTTTCTGTCATTTGGAGCTGTTCTGAAAATATTTGGTTTTGTTATCCAAGTAACGTCTTCCTATGGGCAAAGAGTTGAAGGCACAAACTAAACTGCTCATAATTTATTCTTTATGGTACGCCAGCATTCATAACATGCTGGTGAATCACTGTCCCCCAGACACTGTCCCCCAGACATCCATGGTTATATTTTTTATATTTATATATTTTTTAAATAAAGCGGATTGTGGATGACGTCATCCGCGCGCGCCATAACTCATATGGGTGAGTAGAACATAATGTAATAACTTAAAATCGAGGGCCCAATGTAAAAAAAAAAACGGCGTTTCTCTTTAAAGTAAAATTAAGAACGCGGAATTAAGTCCAGCACTTACAAATAAAGGACAAAAAAACGTATTAAATTATTGAATACATACAATAATATTACTATTAAAATACAATTTTAAGTTACACAATCATGTTTGTCAAATAAGAACATTGTATAGGGAATTACCGGTATATGTAATTTACTGAGTTAAAAGCATATCAGCCTTTTTTTCTTTGAGTACTTCACTTTGACTTTACTTTTTTTTTATATTTAAAAAAAAAAATGCTATATTTTTATAGCGCTGATTCACAACATGTCATCTCAAGGCCCTTTACAGAAACAAACTAACCAGATTGGTTCAAAATTTTCTATCTAAGGAAAACCAGCTGACAGTATCGACTCATAGACTCTTTAGCATTCCCTCTCACAAAGCATGCTGTATCCAATTTTCCCAACCAAAATAAATGTATAATGGGAATAATAATAAACCAGTAATTATATTAATTGAGTAAATGAGAGATGGTCATTTAAAACTAGAGACGCATCTGCATGATTTATGCAAGGATGGAGCTTTTAGGAGTCAAAAAGAATGGAAGGGAATGGAAAAGGTGTCATCTGTATTTTGTACAAACATTTAGGGCTTTAATAGGTTCTGAATCAGGTTTTAAAACAGCAGAGTAATGTCTGCTAAACTCTGAAGCTAAACAAACGGGCAAGTGTTTCATGTCATTGAAATCGCTGCAGCTTAGTAAAGAATATATTATGTTAATATTTTTAAAAGGCTTTAGGGAATCTCAAAAAGGTAAACTAGTTATACCTTAAAATAAAAGTAATTAACAGATGGAAGTAACTACTGAAAAAAAAATTTAAAGTGCACACATTTCCAGCTAAAACTGAAATTTCGGACAGCACCTGAAAGCTACATTGTAGACGCTGACGTAAAACTTATTTGAATTGTTGCAATTAATTTTTTTCTTTTTATAAGCTCAAAATTTCAGAGAGTAAAAACATATTTACGTGTTTTTGTAGTTATATAATATCATTTTTGCTGATATAAATCCTGCCTTACAAGCTGAGACATCAGGCACTGGCTTCAGGTCAAAGAGCACTTTTTCACCAAGGAGCGCTCAGTGCAGCGCAAAATGTTTTCCACGGTGATGAAACGGCTATGGCAGCAGCAGGTGAAGCATACACTGGCGCATCCGGCCATACTCAGGTTTACATGGAGAGGAAAACGGCTCAGCTTTACAGATGCAAAGGAGGCGGAAAGTTTCGTACAAGAGCACATGGAGAGCGCGGAAAATGGCGGAACCACAACGGGAAGACAGACCGCGGGAGATGGCGAGGGAGCACCTGTTGATATCAACGAGTAGGAAAACGGAGAAAATACGACATCTGACGGGGCATGGAAGGTCACTGCGGTGCGGTCAGGATTAAGACGAAGGGATCAGCAGAGAGGTCGTCTCCAGAACCCACACGGACCAGATAATACTTGACTTTTTCATCAGGAAGGTTTCACTGCCATGTTCTTTTTTAGAGCAGTGTTTTATTTGTCCATTTTCTACTTTTATTTGCTGTTTCATTGTTTTAAAAAAAGTCAGGTAAGAAGTTATGTTATGCTTGCACCAACTTGTTCATATATGCTAAGTAGTGGAATCCAGGACACTGGTCTGATACTGTTTTTGTTGGAGAATAATGGGTAAATTAAGTATAAATATTGTAACATGGAACATTAATGGCTGTGGTACACCAATCAAAAGAAAAAAGGTTCTTAGCTATTTGAAATCTCATGATACGGACATAGCGTTCATACAAGAAACACACTTTGAAAGTGAAATAGAAGCTTTAAAATTCAAGAAAGGTTGGGTTGGCAAAGTGTTTCACAATTCTGTGTCCAGGAAAAGCAGAGGGGTTATGATTCTTATAAACAAAAATCTTAATTTTGTGTTACTACAGGAGTTTAAAGATATAGAAGGACGTACACTATGCATACAAGCACTTTTGAATGATGTGAAGGTCGTCCTCTGCAATATATATGCCCCAAACAGGGAAGAGCCACTTTTTTTCACTCCATCCTAAACACAATAAGCAATCTTGAAGGCCACATTATACTGGGAGGAGATATGAACGAAGTCCCAGATATCTTTATTGATAAAAGTGTAATTAGTGCCAGTTCTAGTAGTGGAGGTAAATCCGCAACAGGCCTTTTTAAAGAAGAGATTGGGCTGGTGGACATATGGAGACTAATACACCCTGCGGAGCGGGAATATATGTTTTATTCACATGCCCACAAAAGTTACTCCCGCATCGATTACTTTCTGATTCCCAGTGCCAGTGTTGACTTAGTTGCGGAGTGTGAAATAGGTGTAATTGCCCTAACAGACCACGCCCCAGTGAAGTTACAGATACTTTTGCAGGGTGAAAATAACAGATCGGGCAGATGGAGATTAAACTCCAGCATATTGCAGGATGAACAATTTGTAACAACATTAAAAGACGACTTAAACTACTTCTTTGACGTGAATATTGGGTCAACAGATAAATTGGCAACAGTTTGGGATGCTCATAAGGCCTTTGTTAGGGGTAAATGCTTGGGATACAGCTCTAAGAAAGTAAAAGAGGGGAAAGAAAAAGTCAAAATACTGGAAAAACAGATAAGTGAATTGGAAAAACAACTGGCAGAAAATCACGATGAAATCAAATTTAATAGAATATGCAAAATGAAATTTAACCTTCATGAAATCTACAATAAGAAAGCAGAATATGCATTGTTCAGGCTCAAAACCAATTTCTATGAAAACGGTGAAAAAACAGGACGGCTATTGGCCAGACAACTGAAGCGGTTAGAGAATCAGAACGTAATCACAGCATTTAAAGAAAATGACAAATTTATAACATCATCCTCTCATATTAATAAAATTTTCCAAAGATTTTACGAAGATCTTTATACATCTGAAAATGTAGCAACTGCAGAAGAATTAGAATCCTTTTTTGACAAAATAAAGATACCCAAAATCACCCAGGATGGAAAAGATAGATTGGAAGCACCCATAGGTGAAGCAGAAGTAAGAAAAGCAATTGCTGGAATGAAGAAAATGAAATCACCTGGTGTAGATGGCTTTACAGTCGAATACTATCATAAATTTGTAGATATACTTGCACCAATCTTAACTGATGTTTATCGAGAAGCGTTTGAATGTGGTTCACTTCCTGAAAGTTTCAATCAGGCTATAATTACTCATACCAAAGGGGGATAAAGACCTTACAGACCCAGTCAATTACCGTCCCATAAGTTTGATAAATGTTGATTGCAAAATACTGTCAAAAATTCTAGCCACAAGATTAGAGACTGTGTTACCGCAGATTATTCACAAAGACCAGGTGGGCTTTATTAAACATCGTTCTTCAGCTGATAATATGCGAAGACTTCTGCATCTTTTATGGAGAAACAAGGACAACAAAAACCCTGTAGTGGCAATATCACTTGATGCCCAAAAAGCCTTCGACAGGGTGGAGTGGGGTTTTTTGTTCGCTGCTCTGTCCAAGTTTGGATTGGGTGAAAATTTTTGTAGGTGGGTTAGTACTTTATACTCGGGCCCAAAGGCCGCTGTTTTTACCAATGGAATATTGTCCAATTATTTCCGCATCTCCAGATCCACGCGTCAGGGCTGCAACCTTAGTCCACTTCTGTTCACTATTTTCCTAGAGCCATTAGCTATTAAAATCAGGGAAGATGCTAGAATCCTGGGGGTGAGCGGGGGGGGGAGAGAACATAAATTATTTATGTATGCCGATGATATTCTGGTATTATGTCAGGAACCTGCTAATTCCATTAAAACATTGTTAGAGATGATAGATGACTTTTCTAAATTATCAGGTTATAAAATCAATTGGTATAAATCAGAGGCAATGCCTGTATCAAAAGCCTGTACTGCAAACTTATTATCTACTTTCAATTTCAAGTGGTTACAAAAAGGCATGAAATATC